TGAGCCAATGACTCATCCCAGGCAGATGGCGTCTGCTATTCTTGTTGGTGATAATTGGACCTCAAAGTATGTTCGTAATTGTGTGCCTGTGAGTCAGCGTTTCCATTATGACAATCGTGATCCCAAAGGTGGTATTGAGCAAGTTATTGAGTTCTTTAAGCCTGGGTCTCCTCCTTGGTTACCTATAGATGGATTTGAGCGTGATGATACTGGTAAGGAATCAGGTAAGTTTGCCGCTCAGCAGTCTATTGGTTTTTTCTATGTTGATGGGCCTACTAATTCCAGGGTGACTGTTGATGTAGAGTTGAAGTTGACTATTGCTTTGAAGGGTCGTAAGTGTCTGGGTGGTAAGCTAGATGAGTCTGGGCCGATTAATCCGAATAATGCTGGTGTTTCTATTGGTAATGAGGATATTGGGAGTAATTTAGGGGCTGATTTGCCTGTTGAGGAGGGTGAAAGTGTTAATTAGATAGCTTTAGTTGTTTTTATTTGAAAACTGTGTTTTACTCAGAACAGTATGGTGTTTCCATGTGTATTATTTCTGTAATTCTTCTTTTCAGTGCAGACTTGTCCTCGATTTGTGGGTACCAGGAGTCTGGATTTTGGTTGGATGTGAATATGAAGTTCGTTGCTTCGAGGTCGGTAGTTGAGCCTTTGATGGGGACCCTGATGGGGTTTTCGCTGAGCCATCTGAGTAAGTCGCAGTACTTTTCAGAGGAGTAGAAGTCGTCAAATATGACGGTATTTTGGCCGTGATAGCCGTCCCACCATGGTCCGCTAGGCTTGATGTAGTAATCGTCTGATAGGCTTCTGGCCAAGTGGCTTTTTCCAGTTCCGGGAGGTCCCCATAGTATTGTGACGTTAGGCTTTTGCCTCGCGAATTTCACTACCTTTTTGGTTTTGTGGTATGCTAGTACTCCGGCATAGTGTTTTAGCATCCATTCTGGGTGATCTTCCCATAGTGATTGGATGGTTAATTGCTGCCACCAGCCTGGTGGTAGTGCGCTTGGTGGAGGTGTTCCGTCTTCGAATTGTGTATCAGGAACTGCTGTTTCCTGCTTCTTGCAGTACTCAATTGATTTGGGAATATCCATTGCGAATTCGATGTGGGTAAGGCCACCCATTAATTGCTTGACAGCATTGAAACTTCTTGGATTTGTAAAGTATATGAATCCTTGCCAGTGTAGAGTTCCTGTAGATGGACAGATTTCTCGTTGGTATATGATGTATTGATATCCTATTATTGTCGGTGGCGTATCATAGAAGGCAGTGAAGCAGAAGGCTCTTCCACGTGGTTGGTGATGTTGTCCTGGCATATTTAGTTTTAAAATTGGTGCGCGTGTTTGTACACACACTTTTTTTTAATGGGGCGGAAAATCCTTTGGGGTTTAGGTTTATAGGGTTTAGAGGTTTTAAGCCAAGGCTCCTTAGGGCTAATTTTTTTTCATACACATGGTACACATATATGGTATAGTATTACCCATATATGTGTGTCGTGTGTCGCCCTAGGTGCAAGTTAGCACACACTGCACCTTTTTAAGGTTTATGTCGCTTAGTCTTTGGGCTCAAGCGTTACCGGTTTTAATAGAATTTGCTCCCGCTTTGTTTGGTATTGGTGCCGCTGGGTCTGCTATTGGAACAGGTTTACAGGTTGCAAACGCAGTCAATAGTTTATTGTCTGGTGGTGATATATCCAAACAGTCTACTGTTGATACTATCGTTGATTACGGAGTGGATACCGCTAATCAGGCTTTAGGAAGATTTAGAGATGCCGCGTTACGGAGGACGGGTGAGATCTTACGCGAAGCGTACCGCTCGAGGTTACGGCCGCGTCCGCAAAGGTGGGATAA